CCCAGCCCCTAGAGTTTCTTAAATCTAAAACCTGTTACTTGTATCAACAGCTTTATGAATTTGTAGAAACTGCCATTTGTAACTTTCTGTGCTTGGTATAAGTCCATTGTGCTGCCTTACACCTTCCATGGCTCTTTTTACCTGTGAAACTGGCTACATGATTTCTTAACCTCAGGTATTGATTATTATAAGACAGTATTTCACTTATCCTATTTTATTGTATTTTTAAAAATTATATTTGTTAATATTCAGTCTCATGAATAATATACTTTTAAGTATTGGAAAACTACCACATAGGTATTTAATATAGGTTATCTAAAATGCTTATTTTTGCTCCAAATGTCAAATATTATCACTGATAGCAATTTTTTCCATTTTTTCTAAGATGTATTTTTGGAGAAATGTCTTTCAAATACCAAAATTATTTCATCATAGTTCACAGGTCATTTTTACAGGTAAACTGGCATTTCAGGAAAAAGAAACTGGTTAGTTCAGCTTGTAACTCAAACAACTGCCCAAATGCTTTTCTTAAAACAACCATGATAGTTTGGTGTGCAGTAGAAGTACCTTTGCAAGCTTCCTGTTTTGTCATACAATCAAGAAAATGGGTGGTCTTAGGATCAAGTGTTAATAAAATCAGTGATTTTTATTGTTATGCAAAGGATTTTCTTAAATGTGTCTGGGTCCCTCTCCTCTTTTCCTGATTGTACAAAGTGAAAAATGCAACAAAGGCCTGTGTTCTATGGGGACACTTTCTTTTTTACACCAGGAATATCAGCTTCATCAGATTAAAAACAAGGAATGTGCTGGTCACTGGTGCCTCATCCCTGTAATCCTACCTATTCAGGAATCAAGATCTGAGGATCTTGATTCTAAGACATCTTGGGCAGAAATGTCATGTGACTCTTATCTCTAGTGAGCCACAAAATAGTCAGAAGTGGAGCTGTGGCTAAAGTGGTAAAAGCCCAGTGACAGTGTCGAGGCCCTGAGTTCAAGAACTAGGACTGGCACAAAGGAGAACAAAAACAAATTATACCTCCCTCCTGCCCCAACTTACAATTATTAATATATTTAAGAAAATAATGTTACACTCACAACTGCCCTGGGAAGGTTTTGGGGATTCCTAGTGGTGAATTATTGGATATGCTTAGAAATCACTGCAATGTCTCCTAACAGATTTGGTGACCAAAGTTGAATTTGGCTGGTGCTTATCTTTCTTTTGTTCTCTATGATAATCCAGCAACCTCTCTGCAAAGTAAACCAGCAAAGAGAATTCATTAATTCTCCTGTGCATTTTCTGGTCATTTTTCTTTCTTTCTTTCTTTTTTTTCCTTCATTGTTGGTGGGTCTTGAACTCTGTGCCTTGGCGCTGTCCCTCAGCTCTTCAGCTCAAGGCAAGTGCTCTGCCACTTGACCCACAACACCACTTCTGGTTTTCTGGTGGTTAATTGGAGATAAGAATCTCATGGATGTTCCTGTGCTGGCTGGCTATGAACTGTGATCCTCAGATCTCACCCTCCTGAGTAGCTAGGATTACAGGCGTGAGCCACTGGCTCCCGGCCTGGTCATTTTTCTTTATCATGGAAACTAAAACCAGAAGGGTTCCTTGAAATTTAATTTTCCATGCAAGAATAACTAGCTTCTAAAACTAGGGATGGCAAGGAAAGCAAAACTTTGAAACAAAACTTTGAGTGGCCTGTAGTACAACAGGGACTACTAGTATTTGTTCCTAAGACCCTTCTTTAGATACAGTTTTTCAGCGTTACTCTTCATTATTTCTGTCCCTTCTGTCTTCTAAATAACTGATTTGAAATTTTCTTAAATTCAAGTTTGTAACATATGGTGATTACATTTGAATCTGTGAGGTACTTGGGAAGTAATATGTGCTGCCAAAGTTAGAAATAATTCTGTTTTTCAAACCTGTAATCACCCAATTTGAGACTGATTGCTTCTTGGCAACGTATAAAAAATTCTGTGTAGGGTATGCAGAGATGAAAATTGAAATAATTTATTCCAGGATCCCTAAATACACAATAAAGTTATTGTATGATCAAGTACATAAGTCTGCAAAATGAAGCATTCATAATCTTTTAATGTCTTCAGATTCAAAGTATTGCTTTAAAAGTTGTCCCTTTTTGACTTAGAATTTTTTCCTTACTCTTCTCTTTTAATGGAAGTTTACTCTTTCAGTTCTGTTCTCTTCCATGAAGAATAGCCCAAGCAGAGAAGGAGTTGTGACTAAGAGCTGGGGAGAGTTAGGACTGACCTTTTCTTCTCATTTATATCCTCATTATTGAATTGATCAAGAGGCTGTAGCAGCCAATCCTGAAGGATTTATGTCTCATTTGTCTTATATTATGTAGGAGGACCATAAAATGCCCAGGGAACATCTTGTAGCTTAGAAAAAGAAGTTCCCTTCAGTGCATGAAATCAACCCAGAGGCAAGGCATATTATGTGCCAGCTATATTTTAGGACTGAAAAAGCAGTCCTGTGTTTGACTTTGAAAATTATCTTTAAGGAACTTTCATTCAAAGACAGCAAGTTCTGATGGGCCATTGGTAAGGATGTTGAAGTAAAGTGAAATAAACCAATTAATCTTTATTCTTGCATGAATATATGTGTGTGTTGTATCAGAGATTTGCTTTGGTTTTTGGCCATTTTCTGTGTGCATACATGCACTCTCGTGTGTGTGTGTGTGTGTGTGTGTGTGTGTGTGTGTGTTTTCCATATCTGGGTCATTTGCTTCCTATACTGTTTGTGAGATAGAGATGCTGCCAGCTATGAGAGTGCCCTGAAGAATCTGTATTCTCTGAATGCAGACTTTGCAGAAGAAGCTTCAATGGCTATTTTTCTCTTCTAAGTTAGTAGACATCTGCACTGGAAAATGTGAAATTGAGACCATTCCGGGGGAAAAAAATGGATCTTTGTGGTTATTTTTCATATTAGCAAGATCCCCATCTTCAAGAGGCATTTTTACACTGCGTAGTCATAGCTCATTGTCCAGATTAGTGGAAAAGCATAAGCATGACTTAGGGTCCTGATTTAAAGAGTAGTAGCCATCCAATCTTGATAGTGAGCTCTTGGCTTTCTTAGGTCTTCTGCCAGTTATAAAAATGAAAGACCTTCTATTTCTAAACTTCCTATTTACCATCATTTAAAAACGTTCTGTCTCTCAATCATCATTTAAAAACATTCTGTCTCCTAAGACTAAGAGCATAGGGAATAATTAAAATAAGGTATATAGAAGCGGATATTGTAAGGTCATGTGTGTGGTTGTTTGGCAAACTTCAGCCTTGACCAGCAAACAACTTGTTTGTTGTGTTTGGGTCTCATAGCAAAGCCACTTTGTGAGACCAAACAGATGGTGTTCTCCTTGCCAGTGTTGCCACTCTAGGATCTTTACAAGTGTTACATGCTTGCACACAGCTGTTTTACATGCATATGTCTGATGGGAACTCTGTCTAGGATATACTTTAGGGGAAAGGACAAGATGTCTAATTTCCCACCTTGTCTCCTGGAAGTACTTATCCACCTTAGTTTACTCAGGACATGGCAGGCTAGAAGAAAGATGGAGCTTGCTTGAAGATAAAACAAAAATTAAGCAACAACAACAGCAACACACCACCACTCTTCCCACACAACCCAAATAAAAGAAAGCAGACACTGAGCACACCACATCTTTTCTTTGCTGAAGACATAGATCTCCACGGTTGCTTATCCTCAGGACACATGGTATAGGATTATTTTCTTTTTTAGGTTGTTATTGGGGCTTGGGCTCAGGGCCTGGGTGCTGTCCTCCACCTTTTTTGTTCAAGGCTAGTGCTCTGTCATTTGAGCCACAGCTCCACTTCTGGCTTTTTGATGCCTCCTAATTGGTGTTAAGAGTCTCACTGACTTTCTGCCCAGACTGGCTTTGAACTGAGATCCTCAGATCTCAGCTTCCTTAGTAGCTAGGGTTAGAGGCAAGAGCTTCTGCACCTGGACTGCTTTCATCGTAATAGCCAGCAAAACTGGCTTCCCTAGTAGCTGCCCTACCCATGGCCCATCAACTTTTTTTTGCCATGGTGTTCATGGAGGAAAGTTACCTCTCTGGAATGCATTTGACAGACCAGTGCCCTCTAGTGTCATTTCAGTGACATCAGCTTACCTCTTATTAATTGGTGGTGTTTCATTCCAAGTAAAAGTTTTGCCAGGTACCACACATTTTTTTGAAGATGAAGTCCCCCAGAGGAAATCTGTAAAATGGGGTGATGGGTGTTTACACTCAGCCTCTAAAGAAGCTTCTTTGGCTACCCGTGTATCATAGTTGTTCTGAAGATCAAATAAAAACATGCAGCTATTAAGCACCATTCTAATACAAATTGGTATAATTTTTTTAAATGAATTTTTAACCATTGTTTGTCACATGTTGGCCTTGTTGATGGTCTGCGGTGCCGGCAGCCTTTAAAAAGGTTTTAGCATTCATGGAAAAAATTAAGCAAATCATTATCCTTATTGAATTTCCAGAAGCCCATAACCACTGGCCTCTCATTGGCTGGTTTAGTGGTTTCTTCAGCTGAGTGTGCCAAGGAGTTGAGCATGGATTTGGAGTCATGCCTAGATTTCAGTGGCTACAGCATCATTTCCTCAGTCTGCCTCATTCTCTGTGTAGCCTGAGCGCTCACAGCAAGCAGGCTATGAACTAGTTGTGGTAGAAAAAGTATATCTAGAGTGTTACTTTTTAAAGGAACTGTTTTATAGGTTATCTTAAGTCTCCAGAGGAGTAAAAATACAAAGGTGACACATGTGCACTCTTTTCTCCTTATTCTTGCATGTTGAAGTGTTGTGGTTTCCTACCATCTCTCAAAGCCCTACCTCAGGTGAAATAGTCCAACTTCTCTGTATTTCCTTTCAGCCACTGAATGTTTCCGGTGGAAAACTACAATTTTCCACTGTGTCCTTTCCATGGCAGAACATGTGATCAGTGTCTCCAATTATTATTATTGTTTTTCTTCCACAGATGGGTCAGAGAATTTTTGAATGAAGAAAACAAAGGCCTTGATGTTCTAGTGGAATATCTGTCATTTGCTCAATATGCAGTAACGTAAGTAAAGCTTGGCTTGCTTGCATTTGGATTTCACATGGTCATAGAAGATACAGCACTGTGGTAAAATTCTGCACTGCAAGCAGATGTGAGGGGTTTAAGGCGATTTGTTTCTGTTTTTGTTAAAAAAAACAAATCACATAATTTAGGTTAGAAATGCATTTAGGGAAGAAATGAAACAAAAGAGTGAAAATCACTTTGGGGGTGAAGTAGAACTCCCATCAATCTTTAGGAACTCTTTTTTTAATAGAAAAAGTATCTTGGGGGTCAAACCTAGGCTCTTCTTCATACTAGACAAGTGCTCTGTCACTGAGCTAAATCCCCAAAGAAATACTTTCTTGAGGGCTTAAGTTTCACATCTTTGTAGGATAGAACATTCTAGCAGTTACTGAGAGTGCAGGATAAAAAAGACTGAATGCCTTTAATTAAAAAAAATTGTATTTAAGTTTGAGGTATTGAAGGATTGGACTCAGGACCTTGGACATGCTAATTAAGCACATACTCTATTAATGAACACATTCCTGCTCCATCTTTTAACTTAATTAAAAAAATTTTTTTTAAGTACTAGAGTTTGAATTTAGAGCCTCACATTCACATGGTTGCTTGCTTATTAGCTTAGTGCCTTGAATTATGTCTCCATGTCTCGAACCCTGCTCTTTGCTGGTTTTTTGTTTGTTTGTTCTTGCTTTTTTGTTTGTTTTAAAGAGATAGGAACTTCTTGCCTGGGTTGACTTTGAATCACCATCCTATATGTCTCAGCTTCCTGAGTATCTAAGATTACAAGCACAAGCCACTGCTGCCCAGCTACTATGCTTCTACTTTAAAAATAATACAGCTATGGGCTGGGAAGGTGGCTCAGTGGTAGAGCGCTTGCCTTGCATGCTCAAGGCCCTGGGTTTGATTCCTCAGCACCACATAAGCAAAAAAAAAAAAACCAAAAATGGCGCTGTGGCTCAAGTGGTAGAGCGCTAGCCTTGAGCTGAAGAGCTGAGGGACAGCGCCCAGGCCCAGGTTCAGGCCCTACGACCGGACCCCCCCCCCCCAAAAAAAATAATACAGCTATGTTGTAGATCAGTGGTAGACCAAACACTTGCTTGGCATACATGATGCCCATGGTTCAATCCCTAGTACTGAGACAAAGAAAAATAAAAGTTGCTTGTATGTGTATGTGTGTATACATACTGTATGTATATGTGTATAATTGCATTGACAAGGTTTGCAGACATAGATAGTGACATAGTGGCCCTGGAGTAAAGAATAAAATTGCCTTTTCCTTTATGTGTATTAGTATTATTTTGATTTCTTGCCCATAAGTTGAAGTGGGGGAAAATACTGAAACAGAGTAGGAAAATTAAAACTTAACTTTGTTTTTGTTGTTTCATAAAATCCAATTTTCTTAGCTTCTAATATATTTACAAAAGGACTGGAAAGTGTACATTTGAAAAGTGAGCCATTCTCTTTTCTACATTTTGCCCTTCAATTAGCAACACTCCAATATCTACAGATAGTGTTTTGTACATGCTGACTGAAGCAGTAATACTGTGCTTTTATTTTCACTCAACAATGCTTGTGCCCAGATGGCAGGAGAGTTTTTTTTTCCTTATCCTCTACTCTTCCTTTTAAAAGGAGTCACTTGTTTTTGTCTCACTCCAAAACAGTCCTAAGACCTAAACAGATATTATAATCCCTATTACTTGTGAGGAGAAAACTCTTATTATTCTTGCTTTATAGATTCAGAAACTAAACTGTTAACTGAAATTGGCTTGATGGGTTTCTGTTTTGATATTTCTCATGTATTGCATGAAACATATTAAAAGTAAAGCCCAGTGGACAAGTTCATATCTCCTTGAGAAATTGTCCTCTCAAATACAGTCATAGGTTTTAGAGCATGTTCTATAATGGATATTTTTTGCCTATCTCCATTATGTCAAAGCTCATGAATCTCTCTGATGCGTCATCTTATATGACAAAATAGAATAATAATCTCTGTTGCATATTGTAAAATCTAAGGTAATGTTTATGGAACAGGGAAGACTAAGGATAACTAGGAACAATGCACGAGAAAAGAATGTTTGCTGCAGTCAATGCTTTCCCTACATGAAACTGGGATTACATTGTACTAGTGGAGAAAGATTAAGGTACTCTATGGAAATTCTAGTAGTCTACTGCAAAGTAAATAGATCAGAACTCAGTTCTTCTCTCCTAATCTTGAGCCTTTGGTTTTCTTTGCTTGTGGCATTAGCTTTTAATTAAGCCCTTATTTGCTTTACTTTTGATCAAACTGGATAAGAAATTTCATGGAGACATATAATTTATCTTTTTATTTTAAAGCTAAGGGGCCTTTTTGTTTTTTAATACTGTTCCTTGACGTGTACCAATTTCCCAACCTATGGATGTGAGACATTAGGCTCAGCTCGTGTCTAAGAACTAAGGGTGTGTTCACTAAGGTGGGTGTGTTCACTAAGGTGGGTGTGTCCTGTTTCTACTGGGCACAGATGGGGATGAGCTGAGAAGAATGCATGCATTCTAGATGGCTGAATGTGTCAGGGTTGCAGAGAGACCTAGTGAGTGTGCTGGTGCCATGAGTGATCTTGGTACCATCAACTTCTCTTCCCCAATTTCAATTATAGCCTTCTATTTGGAGTATTTCAAGTTTTCTTCTATACTAAGTTCTGCCTCTTTGTCATCTGCATTGCATCTTGCATCAAAAGTCATGAGGAAATTGCCTGTGGCTAGACCTTTGTATTGTCTTTGGATTGGCCTCTTCTCTCTGATTAGATTTTAACAGATAGAATAGAGTGCATTATGTGCTTTTCTGGGGTGATGTATTTTATTTTAGCAGAAAAGCCATAGATAGTTTTCAGTATACATTATTTTTTTCTTCAAGACCTTCTAAAATCTGGCAAAGGATATTAGTTATTGATACTATCTGTTTATTCTGCTGTCTGAGCAGGTGTTGCCTGGTGGATTTATGGGTATAAACCATTGATACAAAGTTTTTTTTTTTCTTTGAGAAAGCAGAATTACTGGTTTTGTGTAGGAGTTTGGGGGTATATATAGGGCCTTCTTAGTTAAAAACTTGGTTCCTAAAACTATACCAGAATGAGCACTGTAACTTGCCATTTATTCTAAAGTGGTTAACATGAGTAATAACCTCGAAAAATGTCAGAGAAACAGCAGTCTTACTTAAAGAGCACCACATTGGGGAGAGATTCCAAAATCAAAGCAAGTCCATAACTACACTAGTAATGTATCACATATGGTTGGAAAAGTGTACTTGCCAACACACTAGAAGAAAATGCTCAGTGAAAATTGATGGGTAGGAATAAATTAGTATATGCTGAACATATTAACTTGTTAAAGCAAAATGAAGGTAGCCATAAGATTTTCCCCCCCTTCCAACATAGCAATGTTAGTAATTGGTAAGCTAGCAAGCCTCACAGGAAAAATACAAATAATAGAACACTACTTTTTGCTGTTGTTCCATAATTCTTTTGCCAGCTTATGTATTTGTCATTCGGTGCTTGAAAGCCCACACTGAGACCATAGTAATTCTTTTATATTTCTTTTTTAGTTTTGTCTGCAAACTCTTCCCATATCAAGGTGAAGATGTGTTCTTGTAACTGTATCTTATATACCTCTGTGTCTGTGTGTGACAGTCAGATTTTAAGTCTTCAGTGGTATTCTCCTGTTGTTTTAGTTTTGACTTCGAAAGTGTGGAAAGTACAGTAGAGAATTCGGTGGACAAATCAAAGCCCTGGAGTAGATCCATTGAGGACCTGCACAGAGGGAGCAACCTGCCCTCACCAGTGGGCAACAGTGTTTCCCGCTCTGGAAGGCATTCCGTGCTGCGGTAAGTGCCTTTGGTCAGGAGGCTGCTTTGGTGAGGTTTCCTGGCACTGCAGGATTGTCCCTTCTGCTAGTTCCAGGCGGTGTCAATGCCTCTTGCCACACACTTTCAGGACTCTGAAAGAATGTTTCCCATAAGCAGTATTCTATAGATTTAAAGAGCTTTCTAGAAGCACAGTACATTGATTTTTACAGGTGGTGAAAAATTCTGCAGACTCATGCCTCAGGGTAGGCTTAAGCAGGTAAGTTTGGGAAACTGGGTTGATGTTGGCATTGTGATGTGTTGGTGTTTCCAGTGTAGGGGCAGCACCTTGAGCCCAATTGCCCTTCATACCCTTTTACTTTCCGTTCTTTCTCTTCGGGTAGCTCAGTTATGTGTGTGTATAGATGCAGAATGCTGAGCTGGGTGCCGGTGGCTCACGCTTATAATCCTAGCTACTCAGGAGGGTGAGATCTGAAGATTATGGCTCAAAGCCAGCCCAGGCAGGAAAGTCTGTGAGACTCATATCTCCAATAAACCACCAGAAAACTGGAAGTGGTGCTATGGCTCAAGTGGTAGAGTGCTAGCCTTGAGCTGAAGAGCTGAGGAACAGTGCCCAGGCCCAGAGTTCAAGCCCCATGACCGACCTAAAAAAAAAAAAAGATGCAGAATGCTTCAGTGATAATTTTTTAATTACTATGATATCTTTAGTTAGTGTTATTTTGCTTAGGCATGCTTAATTGTCAACTTTGTATTTCCTCCTGGGAATTCCCTATAATGTCTCTTCTTCCTGAAATATTACTAGATTAAGAGAGGATGAGACTGACTACCTTTGTCACTTACGGGTATATTCATCTTTGATCTTTCATTAGTTAATACATATTTTTTATCAGTTAAATGGTAGAAACTGGATGAACTCAGCCTGGAAAAAGAGTTAGTGAGACTCTATTTCATCCAATTAATGGAGTGTAGTACTTCATACTTATAATAGTAGCTGTGAGGAAGGTATAAGTAATAGAATTGTAGTTCAAAATTAACCTTGGGCAGAAACATAAGACCCTGAAAAACAACAAAGGTAAAAAGGGTTAGGTGTGCAGCTTAAGTGGGAGAGCATCTGCCTAACAAATGCTAAGACTCTGAGTTCAAACCCTTGGCCCTACTCCCTTCCCCCTCTTTTTTTTTGAGCTTTCCTAGTTTGTCAGACATTGTACTTAGTATTAATTGTAAATTGGTGAGTAAATCTATGCTGTTGCCAGTGAAGATGGAGATGCCATCTAGAGCAAGATGCCCATGAGTTTAATAGAAATTTTTATTAGTAAGGCCTCGTTTGAAAATTTTGTTTCTTTCCTGAAGCTTGAAAACTTTCTCTCACTGATTTGAGACATACTCTGGCAAAGTGACACTATTTCTTTAGGGGTTAAGATCACCATGGATTTTGGGTCCTTGTGGTAAGAATCTCTGTGTCACATTACAGTCAGTGAATATGAGGCTTTCAGACCTTTCACATTTGATTGCCTTTAATTACCTCTGTCCCTTTGACTTGGACTTTTGGTCATGGAAAAAAAAATCTCTATAATGAAGTTCAGTTCTGCTGAAAGACTTGATGTTTGAATATGAGGCCTCCTATAAACCATTCAGATTTTCCGTGTTAACAAATTCCCAAAATACTAGCAAGTATAGAATAATTTGATTCAAAAATAATAAAGCGTACTGTTTCAGTTCATTTCATGTTATTTGCAATGTGTCAAGAGTTATAGGACCTTTTATGTTATCTACTTTCATATGTGGGTAGAAGAATATGTAGACTGATTTGGAAGTTAAGAGAAAGGCAACTAATTGTGCCCAAAAGGTTGTATAATCATTTTGGTACTCAAATGGAAATTCTCACCAGTAGTCTAACTTAAGTTAGACTTTACGAAGTATATTTCAATTTGGTGTTCCATCATTTCTTATTTATGAAGTAGTCTATATTGGCCAGCTTGCATCCTAACAAGGATTCATTTTTCTGACTAATAACTCATTATGCCTTTTTAGAAACTATTAAAGACTATTCCTTGTGAGCACATTATTTCCAGTAGAATGAGAGAATCAGGAAAATATATGAGAAATATCCCAGATCCAGGGTTTGGGAGGGATGTGATCCTGGAAACTAGAAGGTAGAGTACAGGCATGGTGTAATTTGCTTCACAGTTGGTTCAAGGGTGATCCTAGAATTCATATTAAATCAGAAGGCTCGGTCAAAAGTACATCAGAGGATGTGATGCAAATGTAACTTGGAGAAAGGCGTAACTATATGATGTTGCTGGTTGGCAGGTAGGCTTGAAGAGGACTGACTGAGAAACCATTATATTCTTCTGTTCTGTGTTTCAACAGTTTCAAGGCCAGAAAGGGAGCATTATAATTCCATTCATTTTGGCTTCATGCTTTTTTTTTTTTTTGGGTCCGGTCGTGGGGCCTGAACTCTGGGCCTGGGCGCTGTCCCTCAGCTCTTCAGCTCAAGGCTAGTGCTCTACCACTTGAGCCACAGCGCCACTTCCAGCTTTTTTTCTTTTTGCTTATGTGGTGCTGAGGAATCAAACCCAGGGCCTTGAGCATGCAAGGCAAGCGCTCTACCACTGAGCCACCTTTCCAGCCTGGCTTCATGCTTTCTAACAACAATCAATCAACACAATAGTAGCTTTCATTCCCATACTATCTTGAAACTTTTTGTTGTTGTTGTTGCTATTTTTTTTTGGTGGGGTCTGAACTCTGGGCCTTGGCGCTGTCCCTCAGCTCTTCAGCTCAAGGCTAGCGCTCTACCACTTGAGCCGCAGTGCCACTTCTGGCTTTTTTCTTTTTGCTTATGTGGTGCTAAGGAATCGAACCCAGGGCCTCATGCATTCAAGGCAAGCGCTCTACCACTGAGCCACCTTCCCAGCCCTGTTGTTGCTATTTTTAAGTAATGTGTAGCAATGATTGTCCAGTTCTTCATGGTTCAAGAATTTGTGCCTGAGTTCTAGTTGTATGCTTGGTCATTGGATATTTATGTGTGTGTGTGTGAGAGAGAGAGAGAGAGGGAAAGAGAGAGAGGGAGAGAGAGAGAGAGGGAGAGAGACTGACTTCTACAAAAGACCAATCCAAGTACAGGCATAAAGTATGTGTTGCTTTTCATGTACCCAAACAGTGTTTACATTTTTTTCTCTTCCTTTTTCTCCTCTCTCTTCCTCTGTTCCCCACACTCTTTGTTTTTTGGCTTTCTTTTTTTTGTCTTTTTCATACTGCCTTCTCACTTGTGACTGTCTTCTGTACTTTGTCCTTTCTTGTCCCACTGTCTCCTCATGTTCTGGTTCTGTTCTTCTCTTGGCATCACCACTAGATTGCTTTCTCTGCCTGAGTATCTTCAATTCAAATGCCACCAGAGCTGCTTCTCCCTTTGCTGCCTCTGGAGCAGCTTCAGTTTACACACTGATGATGAGGCTTCAAATTGGAACATCTCGTAAGTCCTGGGTAGAAATGACACCCAAGTGAGCTGAGAATGCATGGTGTCAGGGTCTTATAACTACCCTCCATGTTATAATATGATAACATTGTGGCTTAGCCCAACCCCTTGTCTTGAGATAAAGCCCACTGATGAACTCTGTTATCATATTATGATTCCTCATGTTAAGAACTTGAACTTTTAAGGTATATTGTATTTTTATTAATGTAGCAGGTTTTTTTTTGCAAGAGAAAAAGGAATTCACACTCTGTAGGGATAATTTATTCTGGCAGCTTTTTTTTTAACTAATAAGTGTCTCTATCTGAATTTGGATTTCTGTCCTCTCCCACACCCCCTTTTTAATCTCTAGGTAATAACGTAGATTCTTATCTAATATTACTTGGCAAAAATGACTAGGTAAATTAGAAGAACAAATGAGCTCTCAGGAAATTTAAAAACATCCTGTAAATGAGGCTCAATTAGAGGAAAAATACTGTTCTACAATATAACGATTTCTAATAGAAATTGTAATGGTAGCAGTTTCCTCCTTATGTTAAAGACTGAACATAAGGAGGAAACTGCTACCATTACAATCGTTATTTATTTATTGAATTAAAAAATTGTTACTAGGTGATCTACAGAGGGGTTATAGTTACATAAGCCAGGGAAAGAGTACATTTCTTTTTGGACATTGTCATCCCTTCCCTTACTCTCTCCCAGCTTTTCTCCTCCCATCCTCACCCACATCATGTCCAGTGAGTACCATTGTTGCATTTGTTTAACCTTTCAGTCTTTACTTGTAGCTACTTAAAATTGATTATCAAACTTTTAGTAACATGGCATACTCCTTGAGTTATTTTGGATTCTGTATTACATATATTTGAATCCAGAGGGGAAGTGTTGATAGTAATGAAGTAAATGAGCAATTTGTGCTATCTTAGAGCCTTGTGTGCCTTTCTTTGAGATAGGTTTCTGCCAATGTGGTTGCCAATTTAGTACATGATGCAATGTGTGCCCACATGTCCACATCAAGGCTCTGTTATTTCAGAGGCAAGAGAAAATAATTTTTAAAAATTTAAGGATGTTTAGATTTATATTATTGGACTTCAGTAAAGAAAAATGCCAGGAAGTGGTGCTGTGGCTCAAGTGGTAGAGAGCTAGCCTTGAGCTGAAGAGCTGAGGGAAAACTCCCAGGCCCAGAGTTCAAACCCCACGACCACTAAAAAAAAATAAATAAAATAAAAAATAAAATAATGCCAGTCAGGCATTGGTGGCTGACATTGACAATTCTAGCTACTCTGAAGATTGAGATCTGAGAATTTCGGTTTCAGAGCCAACATGGTTAGATAAATCCCAGAGCATTTGCCTTGAGCAAAAAATAAGCTAGGACTTGAGGCCCTACATTCAAGTCCTTCCTTGTTCTAGTGCAGGGGAAAAAGTATATTCCATGTTTTCTACTGGAAACTTACTGTAATGATACTGGTTGCAAAAATGATGACAAGGAAGTGGCACTGTGGCTCAAGTGGTAGAGTGGTCGCCTTGAGCTGAAGAGCTAAGGGACAGTGTC